CATTGTAAGTGCATGCTCTTGGTTAATGGACCCTAGGGTGCTTCACTGGAAATGTTGAAACAGTCCTTTAGGAGGCTTGTACTATGATGGAGTATCTGTTCACAACATTATAAATGTTTCAAGCATCCTGCTTGATAGCAGACATTCTGGTTAATAATTATTAGATCTCTTTGGTTACAGGAATATTTGCAACTAAGCAGTAGTTGTCCAATTTATCATTTTTATATTATAATGAAAAACAATTCAACTAATAATAAATCAGCACCATTCTCCTTAATATTTTCTTATGCTGGCAAATAAGCAATTGACTTTGAACAATAGGGGGTAAAACATTTTAAAAAAAGAATAATTGTATGCCAGCTTGTATTCCTATAAAGAGAAGAGGCAAGCAGAAACTGATGTCAGAATTGCCCAAACTGACAAATGGAAGGACCAGAAGGTAATTTAGAAAAGCCGCACTGAATAACTGTACCACTTTTACGATTAATGCATCACATCTGGTCTCTCTGCTAAATGATAATATGAATTATGAAGTTTTGCAACTGTATTAAATATGTTATTACTTGAGGTAAAGCCAGCAAAGAGACAAAAAAAAAATGTTAACTAAGGAGTGTAAGCTCAATTCCTAAGAAGTTCCTAAATTCCTAAGAAGGTGTGGGAATACTGTCAATACTGCATTTGCACTTGGTATCTCAGTACCAAAAGAAAGCAAGGGAGAGGGAGGTCTATGACTCACCACAGCCATTTTTTATATAAAGCCAGAAACCACATTGTCATTTAATAAATGAACCAAGAGTGAAGCTTAACATACAAAAAGAGAGAAGAGTGTGAATTCCAGCCTGGGGAAGGGTGGAGGCTCTACAAGTTTTCCAGTGACAACCCTTGTGTGGTTTTCTATTTCTATAAAGTAGCAGATTCAATTAAAGGCGTAACATGGACAAATCCTTGGCTTACAGACCAAAGCAAATTTGGGAATCCTAGGAACTGGGTGGGTACATCAGTTTGTAAGAGTCATTTTAGGTGCTAGGATTATCAAGAAAATAGGATACGTCCTCTCTATTGCATGTTGTCCAGTGCTATTCTGAAAAGGGACAACTTGCAATTCCAGGAAATACCAAAGTTCTTTTGGAAGTGAAAATATCAAGGTTTTGGCACTTAAGACTGCATTGAGAGAGCTGGGGTTGTTTAGCCTGGAGAAGAGAAGGCTCTGGGGGGGATATTATTGCTGCCTTTCCTTATAAGAAAGATGGGGACAGGCTTTTCAGTAGGGCCTGGAGTGATAGGACAAGGGGTAATGGTTTTAAACTAAAAAGAGGGTAGATTCAGACTAGATATCAGGAAGAAATTTTTTACAATGAGGGTTCTGACACACAGGAAGAGGTTGCCCAGAGAGGTGGTAGATGCTCCATCCCTGGAAACATTCAAGGTCAGGCTGGACGGGGCTCTGAGAAACCTGATCTAGTTAAAGATGTCCCTGCTCATTGTAGGGGGCTTGGACTAGATGGCCTTTAAAGGTCCCTTCCAACCCAAACCATTCTATGATTCTATGATTCAAATGAAATAGAGATCTGTTGTCAATAGTATTTACATAAATTTAAATTCAAATAATTTCACAGTGTCAGCTGAACAGGACTTGTGCAGAAACACTAAGTGAGCACTAAGAGGTCTTACATCTTTTTGTCATGGTACAAGGGATTTTGTACAGATGACTCTCCACACAGGTAAAGAAGATTTGGTGAGAAGCATAAAAGCTGGAGCACAAAGATTAAGAAAGTAAGCTTTTAGGGAGGGGGTTCATTTTCAGTCAGATCAGCAGGCCATTCTGGCTGCTGCACAGCAACATCATTATTAAATTTGTCACAGGAAAGACGTCAGGGATGCATGGAGGGACACATGGAAGAGCCGGACCATCTCCACTTGATTTGCACCATTGTTTACATCCTCTTTTCAAAGAGCATCTCAGTGACAGACTGTCACACGGGGTTACATTTCAGGTAGAGGTTTCCCCTTTCCACTTCAGCAGTTGTCTCATTTCCAGGCAGACAAGGTCACACTTGCCAGATATTCATTAAGAAATTTGTCTCTTGTTAGCTTTGTGTACAAAATATCTTTCTTCAATGACTGATAGGGAGAAGCACTCACCCCTGGATCACCAGCATCACTAGCTTAGTCGAGGAGAGCTAGCAGCAGCCGATGGGAGAAGAGGGGTCACTCAGGCTGGGCATTTCTGCTAGACCACTACAGGAGGCAATGTCACCCTAGGCCAGCGGGCATTTTTTATAATTACTATGGCACTAGCTCTGTAGTTTAAATGCTAAATGGTTTATCACTAAAGGTTCATCATTCCAAGCCTGTAAATGCCACACCTCAGGAACACATGTAACAGAAAATAGTTTTTGTTCTACCATCAAAAAGAAACTATGTTAGAAAAGAAAGTTACTTGCGTTGCAAAGTCAGCTGTCAAAAGCTAGACGTTTTTTGTGCACATTAATACAGACTCTTTGCTTATACAACTCCATACTATTTTTGTCACATAACCTATGCATCATTTATGCAAAGAATACATACACAAGGCAGCATAATTAAGCTTGCATGAGAGGCTATAAATCTGCCATCTTTTGGTTTTGAGCTTAAAACCTTTATAGCTTAATTTATATCCATTTCCTACATACAGTTCCTAACTGTGCATTTCATGGTTTTATCCCAAAGACAGGGACTCTAACAGATGCTGATCGAGCGGCTTCCTGACTTCAAAAATGAAGTATCATCGATTTGTGAAAGGGTTTATGTGATTCGGTTCCCTGCAACAGTAGGGGACTGGGCTTGGTGAAGAAGAAAGGTCACTCCTATTTCTGTGTTCCTAACAGATATTAATTTAGCTGAAGATTAATGTCAATGCTAACACCTTTATTTATGGGTAACTACTTACTGGCCTTTTACTTTTCTGTTCCTTCTGCAGCCGTCGATGGAAACCAGCTAGACATCTCTGGTTTAGTTCACGGGTGAATTCTCTCTAGCAACATCATTTACATTTGGTAAATACAGTTTAATTTAGATTGAGTGCCTTGTTTTTGGTCTGTAATTTAGGGTGTGTTCCCGGATAGCCAATGCCAGGGAGTGATGCTGCTGCTGTCCCCGATAGGGCAAAGGTGCCGGAGCCTGGCTGCACGTGCTGTGTACGGGTGAGTGGGGCTTTCCCAGCAGCCTGTTCTCTGCCTCAGTTTGCTCATCAGGCCTGAATTGTCCCTTTGCTGCACAGATCTGTAGCTGCTCTTGGGTGGTAATGCAGCACCTGTTATCACATTAACTGTTTAGAAGTTTAAAACTACCTTTGGAAGAGGTTAAAAGTCTGCAGGAACTGCATGTACAAGAGCCCTTGAACATGTAATCCATGGGAACTAACAGCCTTTGTCGGTGGTTTTGCATGGAGGCCAGCTCTTCAGTGGATATAAGGCCTGAAATACTTTCTTGTTTAAAATAGTCTTCTCTAGACTTCAAAAATGTTGACAATCAGAGAGGAGCAGCAGGGAACACAAGTGTCTGTGGTGTGAGGATTACACAACTCCCTGTCATATACACTGACTTCCATATCTAGCAATTTTTATTAACATTACACTACCTTCATGACTAAAACTGGTATACCTAGTGGTAGTGGTTAAACTTTTGGCTGCTAACCAGCATCCTGTTGGTTATGGCGTAAGTAAATGTCTCCTTTTTAGCTTTCTTATTTCCCATTTTTGTCACTTCGAATCAGTTCAAAACACAGCTGCAAATATTACCTCTGCTCTGACCATGTTACGATCGTCTCCGTTTCCACAGCCTCCTTGTTGTGGACTGGGCTCCCTGCCCCAATCTTTCACCAAGCCTTGCCTAGATGTGTCCTGCTCCTTCCTCCAGCCCCACTGGGGGATGTGGGGCTGCCCCTCCTCAGGGCTGCAGGCCAGGCACTCCCACCTGGCTGCCGACACATGTGCACTCATACAAAACCTGGGCCTCTGCAAAACCGTGCACACCTCAGCCTCTGCTTTTTGTTGTCTTCCATCACCTCTATGCACACAGGAACGCTGTTGGCACCCTTTACTTACCAGCCATCTTGCAGGCTGCCTCCAAAGATCTGGGACATCCCAATAGCAGCTGCACCGCTCCCACACAAATCCTCTTGGAAATTTAGCAAGCATGGATCCAGGTTATTCTACTGCTTTCTTCATCCAGCACTGTGGAAAGGAGAGTACAGGTATTACATCTGCTAAATTGCAGCATCCACTTTTTGTTTAATCCTCAGAGCATCCTCTCTAATCCACAGCAGTTCTGTAAAACCTTGGGAGTGAGACTGCCCTTCTTTATACTTTGCAAGAATAGGAATGTTAAGTGCTTAATAAATAAGCTAAAAATAAGATAATAGGTTTATGTTCTGCCTTGCATGCAGCAGAATTTCTGTTCAGTTCCTCCAGTCTTTGCTTCAGGTGGCTGTGCCTGAAAACTTTACTAGAGACTTACCTTCTTCTCCTGCAAGAGGTGTATATGGGAAGAAGCACTTAAAGCAAGAAGAGGAGGAGGCTCTTCTTAAAGCAATCCTTAAAAGATAAATTATCATTTATTGACATGATCATCTGTATGTCATCATCCAACAGCACTAACAACGTGGTTTCTGTAAACATTTTTAAAATGTCAAGTTTTCTTGTGCTCAGTGAGAATACTGACTTAATTTTTCATTTCTGTTCTCAGTCAAACAACTTTGGCCCAAATCCTACGAACACACAAGTATTGAGTTCATTACTGTAAGCTCTGCTACAGCCCTTTAAAGAGTATCTTTCACAGCCAGAGTGAAAAGGCTACTAAAATGGGTCAAGATTACCAACTGGTAAACAAAACGAAGCATTTTAAGTTTACTTTAGAATTTAAATAAAGAAGAAATTTTAAAGCAGCACGACTATTTTTCAAGCATTGGCGAAGCTGTACACGATTGCACAAATGGTGACACTGAGTTCATTCATGATCAGGACAAACGCCCCCACTGTGCCACCTGAGGACAGGGCGCAGGGCGCTGCAGGAGGCTACGGGGCGTGGGGCGATCCCGCTGACGGGGGCCGCTGCGCGCTCCTTCAGCCCCTGCGTGCGCAAAGTACGCGGTGCCGGGGGCGCCCCCGGGGCCGAGGCCGCAGCACCGCCGCCCACCTCT